GGCCACCCTACCCCTGCGTACCCTCAGAGCACTGCCTTGGGTACAACACCAGAGCAGTTTTAGGGCCTTTTGGTGCAGATGCTGTGCCCCCATCCCCACACCCCCTGCAGCCCAGCTGCTCCACAGACAAGGCTGCCCACCTCCGTGTCCCCTCCAGCCACAGCAATGAGCACAATGACCGACAAAACCAAGGATTTTGCATTGGGGGTGGCACAGCCCGCTGTCCCCCATGCTCAGCCCCACAGCTTTGGGCTGCAGCTCACAGTGGGAGCCCGGAACCACTGCGAGCGTTCGGATAAAGGAGAGCGCTGCCCACACCGAGTGCATTAAATCCAGGAGGCTTTTAGAGCAGATGGAGATCTTGGGCTGCGTGAGGACAGGGCCCACGGCGCTGGGAGGTGGCGCAGAAATATTGACGGGGGCGAGGGAGAGTTCTTAAGGGCAGGATGCAGCCGGGATTTACTGCGCTGATCCGGGCGCTCGCTGCTGGCTCACGTGGGAGAGAAACCTCTCACCCCTTCTTCCTACACAGTGGGCACAGCACGGCCTCGGAGCGACACGCAAAGCAAATCCAGCTCTGTTCCATCACAGAACACCCATGGGAAGCAGAGAGGCACTGCACCCTGAGGTGCTCCCCCCTCACCCCCAACCCATGGGATGCATGCATTGCCCAGAGCTGCCTGCAGCACCCAGCCCGTAGCCATCCCCCAGCATCGCTGCGATGCGGTGCCGAAGGCACACACTTAATAACATGCAGTTAAATTAATTAGCACCGAGCGTGCCACACCGTATGCTGCTCTGCACTGCTGTGCTGGGAGAGCCAGATGAAATATGGATGAGGCGCTGAGCGGTGATGGGGGCTCAGCCTGGAGCCACGACCCCAGTGCCTATGGAAAGTGCTCTATGCCATTGTTTTGCAAAATCTGGAGGAGATGGGAGGAAAGCTGAGCTCTGCCCTGCACGTGGTGCTCCACTGCAGGAGGTGGGCAGCAGTTTGGAGCAGCTCCTTGCAAGGAAACCGGGGCAGCAGAGACAGAGATCTCACTCTGCTCTCTGTGCAGCTGACAGCAAGGGAAGCTGTGGCAAGGGCTCCTGTTGGTAACCTGCATCCTACAGCTTGCTCTGCCCATGCAGACCTGAGCCCCATGGCATGAGACTCACAGCACACCACCAGCAGCACGGGATGAGCCCCCAGCACAGCAGGACGGGCAGGGAGGTTTTGGTGCACAAGCACTGCGTTGTCCTCCGCACTCAGTGTGCAGAACTGTGAGCATCCTTGGCACAGCCCTGCTGCAGCACAGAGGCACTGCCATCACCCGACCCCACGAGACACAACACACCCCAGGAATGGCATTGCTGAGGGCTCAGCCCCCCTTGCAGCCCATGAGCTTGCTTCAAAATGACTTTAGAATGATCCTCATCATTCTGGATCTCTTCTTTCAGAGCCGCTGCCTGCTGCAGGTGGGAGCTCTGCCCTCATAGAGGCCCTTCTCTTTCTGCTCATTCCCAGCGCCTTGGGGATGCCACTGAGCAGCACTGAGGGCTGTGGGGATGCTGTGCTCAGGGTCTCCCCCCGGGTGAAGCAACTCTGGATGCGGGGGAAGCACAGCTGGTGCGCTGTGGGATGGCCCTATAGAGCCATGGGGCCACGTGCTCCCCCCTCACGCATGGAGCGGAAGGAAGAACGTCTCCCCAGCACATTAAAAATAAATGCGGCATCACACTAATTATGCTGTGTAATTAGCATTTGTTTGCTGCTTATCAGAAATCCACAGGGAGCGGAGTTGGACCCCATGCATCCTTTGTGTACCAGCCAGGGCTCCAAGCAGGGTCGGCACCAGCCCAGCTATGGCCCACAGCATCACCCCCATCCCACAGCATCACCCCCCAGGGACCCCAGCTCCCTGTTCCTCCTTCTCCCCACACGAGCCCATCCACACCCGGGCTGCAAGCAACAGCTGAAGGGATGAATCCACAGCAATACTGGAAATTAGGTCAGCGATCGCCTGCAGCAGATTTTAACATTTATCAGCCCGGCTCCACTGCTGCAAGGCTCTTTTACCAAGAGCCACACTGCCATAGGGCTGAGCCAGGTTCACCCTGCGTGTGTCCCCCTCCCATAGTGAGGTGGGCAGCCCCCCCCCAAGCAGCACACACAGCCCCACAGCCCTGTGCTGCTGCCTGCACCCCATCACCTTACAGCACACAGCCACTGCCAGCCAGCAGGCACCGGAGCACTGCAAACAAAAGGAAACCAGGTGACATTTACCTAGCAAACTAATTGATATCTGAGTAATTGGAGAAACCTCGTTCCACACCAGCTGGATTTCCCAAGCCTTTCCTGTCCCACTCGCTGCAAACAAGGTTTGTGTGCTAATCAGGCAGCTGGAATCGCATCGCTACCCGCTGTCACTCTGAGCAACTTACACAGGCACCAGATTAATGGTGGGCTCTCAGATGCTGAGCGCTCTCTGAAGAACTTATTTGGAGGTTTATTGGCTGTGTCTCTTCCAAGCAGTGACAGCGGAGCAGCACCAGATCACAGCTGGAGAGCCCCCGGGCAGGGGGTCCTCCCAGGGCTTAAGGAACAGACCATCATACAAACACAAATCAGCGTGGAATTGGAGCACAGCTCACAGGCAGTGGTGCTGTGAGCCCAGGAAAACACACGTTCCTAAGGAAACCCTCTGCACTGAGCTCTCGTGCTGGGAACTGCACCAGTGCTTCATTACAGGATGATGATGTGGCCTTTAAATTGTATTCTTAAAGCAGGGGTAACACCTCATTGCTTTCCCCAGCCCCCAGGGTCTCTGCCCAGCTCAGCCCCACCACCCCAACCACCCTGAGTGTCCATGCATAGCCTTGTGAAGCTGCTCCATCACCCCCGTGCCATGGTGCATAATTATCTCGTTTGCTATTAATTTGGATGTCAAGAGAAAATCCATTCATTTGCTTTTAATGAACATGGCCTTAAAATGGAGCCGGGGGTGATGTTAGCAGCCTGCAGCTGTGTCCTGCTATGGGAAGCACGAGGTCAGTCACCATTCCTACTGCTGCCCAATGGGGGAGAGCAATGGGAAGCTCCAAAGCAGCCCTTGGTGCCAGGTTATTTGTTCCTGGGACACCCAAAAAGCTCATTCCAGCAAGCAGAGAGCTAAAGAGGAAGGGATGCACATGAGTTTCCTTACCAAGGACACAAGCTCTGGTCTCTGAGTTTCCATTAAGAGGAGGTTTCATGCTTCACAAAGCGATTTCCCCTTCCCTGGTTTATAAACCAATTAGATAAAGACCAAGTTAATCCCTTATTGTGTTCAGAGCCACCAGCAGGCACCAAACACGGGGATTATATGCTTTGTTTAACTGACTCCCCAGGTCCTGGCAGCCACGAGCACCGCACGGCACAGGGCAGGGTGAGGTGGGGTCTGTGGGGTCCCCCAGCCCCATAAGCACCCAGAGCAGCCTGGGCTCACAGAGCCATGCATGCATGCATTGCTCAGTGGTCAGACACCATGCACACAGCTGCTCAGGATGTGGCCACACTGAAGAGGCATTGCAGCAGTGCCCTCAGCCTGCAGCCACCAATGGTGACCCTGTGCCAACGGTGGAGTCACACGGAACCAAATGGTTCCCCCTTGCTTCTCCCCGCCAGGCACAGGGATCCCTCTGATCCCACGCAGCGCAGAGATCAGAGGAGCACAGCGTGGCTGTGACTTCCCTTTCTTCCCAGCCTCTGTCCACCCCCACAGCGAATTCCCATGTGAAAATTGCTTTGAGGCTTCCCAGGAGATGGCATGCTCCTCCTCAGGGCATGAAAACTTTGGCTGCTTGTGGGTTTGTCTTTACAACACAGGAAGCAGCACGATTTTGGAGGAAAGGAGAATTCCATCAATGACCAATTGCTGCCAATCCCTCCTTCCCTCCCAGGGACCAGCCCAACAAAGTCCTCTAAAGGGGATACGATCACAATGATCATCTTGTTTCAACCTCCAGCTATGTGCAGGGGTCTCCCAGAGCCACATCCAGCCTGGTCTTGAATGCCTCCAGGGATGGGGCATCCACAGGGACAAACTGCCCCATACCACAAGAACCCACACCTCTGGAGGAAAAGCTTTTAGCCTTGCAAAGTGGACTACGCTAGTTTTATACAAGGACAGAAAGTGTTTGTTCTGCTTTCTGCTGTTAATACAAAGTTTCACAAAGGGTTTAACTGACAAATGTTCATCCAAACACGATGGCCACAGAGCTTCCATCGTGATCTGACACAAGTGCTCGTGGGGTTGACTCAAACTGCAAAAATCCAGGCCTGGAATCTGGCCATCCTGACCCATTTGTGTATGAACAAGGACCTCCCTCCCTGTTCTCCTTGAAGGGAAATTCAACTTTTTCCCTGAGATGGTCTCTTCTTCAGGAAGAACCAACCTGCACCACGAGCCCCACCTCAATTGCTGTGGGGAGGCTCACAGTAACCCCAATCAGGCCCGTGCCTCAAAACACCCCCGTATCAGGATTGCACTTCAGAAGCAATACAGAGCATTTCCCAGCACCATCAGCAACACCAGAGCACCGTGTGCCCAGCACAAATGATTTCCACCCAGACACTGAGGCAGCAGGCACGCAGAAACCACTGACACCAAACAGATAGAAAGCTTCTCAAGTACTGAAGCTCAGACCTCTGAGCCTCTTCCAAAGCACAGAGCAGATTGTTGGCTCTGTCCCCTCCCGTGTGAGTCACATGAGCCCACCTGAAACACGGTGTCCCCTGCCCTTCTGTCAGGACCAGCAGGAGCTGCGTGCTGTGCTTCTGTTCCCCAGAGATACACAAAGGGAGCAGAGGCTGAAGGAAGGCTGGAGGCCATTCCAAAACCCTCAAGAGAGTCTCTATGCCCCAGAGAAGTGCTGGGAGCCAAAGAGCAGCTCTGCAGTTTGTTGGATATTAAGTTAAGCAGCCCAGTGCCTCTTCAACAATCCCCTCCCTGCAACAACCAGAGTACTTAAGGAAGTTGTAGTAAAATTACAAGTAAATATATGTATTCACAATGCTTAAAAATAATGAAAAATATACTCTAAACATCAAGTAACAAATTTAACAGAGGCTGGTCTGTGCCTGCCAGAACAGTGCAGCACACTGCTGGTGTTGTGCTGACCATCAGAGCCACGCGCTGCTCTGCCCCAGGTGGACACAGCTGCTGCCCTCTGCACAGCCACAGTCTGCAGATTCAATGAAGAGGGTCTTCATCTTCATCATCTCTTCCAGAATGAGATTTTTCCTCCAGCTCAGCCCTTTCTTTCCTGCAAGAAACAGAAAACAGGAAGGATCAGAGACTTAAAAAAAAAAAAAGGAGCCAAGAGGACCAACTATTATGTCACCTAGAGGTTTAGAGGCTCAGATGCACAAATTTTGAGGCACACAGTCACCAATGGAATAGGTTTTGTGTTTCTGCTGTGCACACCCCCAAACCAGCCAGTCTTTATGTAGGTTTCAGCAGCAAGGAGCACCAGCAACCAGCACAGTGCCACCCCCATGGCCAGGCTGCACTGTGCAACACCACTAGAAGAACAGAAAACCTCATCTTTTGCTTCTGGCTTCATGGTTTAGAGAACAGAGGGACTGAGCAGAACATGACAAGCTGCACTGGAAAGGTGTCACAAGGAATCTCTGTGAGGTGCCTCATCTCAGCACAAGTAATCCCTGACTGCTGCCACCAGCAATCTTCACTTTCTGGTCCAGCACAGCTCTCAGAGTGGGGTGGGCTCTGAGTTCTGACGGACTTCATTCACCCCACAGCCCTTCAGACAGTGCTGACCTGGTGTCTGTCCAACCTGGCGTGGCTCTGAGGGAACCCAATGATAAACTCTGATGAACTGTGCTGAAAAGGCAGCAGAGCCTTCTCACAACACGAGGAACTCCCACACATCAGTGAACTTGCTATGGATTTACGCTGTTTAACTGAGCAGCCACTGGCCAACGTTATGTAAAAGTGAGGGAGCCTGATTCTTCCCTTGCTTTCTGACAACAGAAACCAGCACCTCACAGGATATTTCTGTTCACCTTCATGTCACACTTGTGGGCGTTAGTGCTTTGCTTATCATGGGTGCTGGAAAGAGACCAAATCCCCAGCGACCTTCCCCTGCCCAGGACACGGTGCTCCGCGCAAGAAACGTGTGAAGTAGCATGGCCACAATCACCCCCAGAAATCACCCTTTGTGGGGGCAGCATGTCCTGATGTCACTGGAGCTCACCTTGTTACCCCACCCGTCCCTTTAATGCCATTACTGAAGATCATTACATGAGCAGATCCCCTTTGGAGAAGCAGCTGCTTGGGCTGCCCACACACCTACCTCTTTAGCCTGGAAGGCACAGCTGCTGGTGGGGAACACATCTGCTTCTGAATATACGCCCTCGATCTAATATCAGCCTGGAATTAAGGAGGAAAATGAGTGAAGAGGGACCGAGCCACTTGTTTGGTGTCTCCCCACAGTTATCTCTGTATGGCTCTGCACACCTTGATGCCAGCACGCCCTAATTAGCCCTTAGCTGACTTGCTGAGAGAAAGCTGTGTTCTTCCTTCCTCAGTGAAACAGAAGTTGTGTCCTGGAACCATGCTAACTGCGACTGCCATGGGCACTGCAAACAGCTGTGGGATGCAACCTTCTAGGTCACAGCACTCCAAGGTGATCCATGGTCTTAGCAGCTCTGACTCTGTAATATTCACACAATTAACTTTTCTGGTCACTAAACGAGCTGAGAAATAGGACTGCCCTCTCCACAGGAAACTATAAATTGAAAAGGGGAACAAGGCTATGGAGAGGGCCATTAAGAGCTTGGGAACATGGTGATACAGCAGGCAAGTTGTCAAGATGACGTGGGATGAAAAGAGAAGCTGGCATTGCCAACTCTCATACCCATCTTTTTCCTTCCTCTGTTCCAGCAGTTGTACCATGCAGCAACAGATGGAGAAGCACACCACTTGACTGCTGCATATCCTTTTCCCTAGGCAAGAGCTTGGCTCATCCTGCCTTCGCGCCTGGTGGGCTGGCTGTGTGATGGCAATTATGCAGCTAAAGCAGGTAAAAACATCCAGTAAACACAAACAGAGACAAGGCACAAGCACACCCCCTTCTTGGCAGCAAGGCAACTGACTGACACACCTTTCACACTGTCCCAGCCTGTGAGACCAAAAGCAAAGCTGCCAAGGGGAGCAGTAAACACACGAGACTGTGTCAGTGCTATGAGCTCTGCTTTCTAGTACAACCTCCCCTGGGGCCACAATTAAGAGGTGTAATGTTGAGATTCTACTTAATGTGTGGTTTATTACCCTCCTTCTTCCTTGGAGCCATCATCAAATCCCTGCTCCTGCCAGCAGCCATCTCTTCCCTTCTGCTTCTGATATACACAAAACCACCTGGGAACACCAGGAGAACTGAACTGCTGCATCTTATCAACAGTACAAGCCAGCATGCAGTCAGAGCAGGGCAAAAACACCAGCAGAAATCCGAAGAGGGGTAGAAAGTGTTGCTGGACACTTACTGGATGTTCTCATCACCCAGAAGCACTACTGGTCAGCTTTCAGTGCTATTCCTCGCCAGCTTAAGGCTCCCTAATGCCAACACAAGCACCCAGATCCTGGGCTCTTGGTTACTTTGAGAACAAACAGTTGATTTTAACATTCCCTTAAAGTTTTGGGTTTTTTTTTTTCCTTTTCCAGAGCCTTCGTTTCTCAAGAACGCTGCTACCCCATGACATTTTAGAACAGCTGCTGCACCCCATCTCAAAGAAAGAGTCTCTCTCTCTACTTAAAAAGCAGTCTGTGACCTTCCCAGCTGGAAAAGCTTCACAGAATACAATGATCATTCTAATAAAGTGGGTTAGCACATCCCCGGTGGCTGTCCTTGAAGCATTTGCTACTCTCATCTCTGTGCTACTTCTGAAGAGTCTCTCCCAGGCCCCACAAGAGCTCCCCACTATCCATCCATCCCAGCAGCTCTCAGTCAGGCTTCTCAGGTGGAAGCTCTGCCAGCTTACTGCTGGAAATGCAGCTCCACCACTGTTTAACAATTCTGCAAGCTCGAGAACAAAAAATAGTTACATAAGGGGTGGTTTGTTTGGGAGATTTTTTTTCCCTTCTCTCTATAATTGGACAGTTTCATAACTGAACTGACAAATAACTTTGATCACTCTTCAGGATAAGAGATTACGTGATGTATTTTACAACAAGGGAAAGAGGCTGTTCAATAGAGTCCCTGCTGGGAGACCAAGGGTAGCAAGAGTCAGGTCTACAAACTATTTTTCCAGGTAAGAAAAAGCCCAAACCACGTTCTGCTGGTAATATAAGCTAATGCTTGACTAGGTGGCAAATTACTGGCTGGTCCTCACTCCTAACACACTGCTGAGAGACAGCTTAACCCAGCGTATTAACCAAGAGGCTAATCAATAAGATGGATAACTGTCCAGTAATAATCCTCACAGATTGTTTCTATTTTCAGCCAGGCCCAGTGCTGGCATTACGGTCTGGAATTGTTGCTTTGACTATTCTATGAGGTGTGGTGGTGGTGACCAGCAAGCTTGTACAGGGGGCTACACCTCAATGGTGAGAGTTTTGGGACATGAGGTTCTGATGTTCCTGCAAGGCAGCAGGTGGTGTTGCCACATAGCAGGGGGATGATAGCTTATTTCTCAATTTTGCATTTGTAAGTATTTAATACTCCATATGATACAACCTGTAGAAATTCACAGCTCTGGCCTGGCTGACTTCTGTCCTCTCTGGTGGGCTGGAGCAACATCAGGCTGCCCCACCAGCCACCTCCTGAGCCAGCAGGAACCAGCTGGGCAAGATGCCAGCTGGAGCTAAAAGGATCATCAAGTGTGCTGGAGGCTGGTGTGCAGCCAAGCAGGAAGCTGAAGCAGCAAGAGCAGAAGAATCAGTCCCAGAGCAATCTTTATCAGATGGAGAGTGTTAAAAGCTTCCACACTGCATGGGGATCCTGGGTCTGAGCAGGTTCAGAGCGTGGGCAAACACTAAAGAGGGCTTCTGACCCCTGCTAGAAGTAGGCAAGGAGAGATGCTCTCAGGAGAGTTTGTCACTGTTCCAGTTTGAATGCTTTGCCTGCTATTCTCAGACAACAGCTTCCGTCTACCTCAACTAGTATTGACTTCAGAGGTACTGACCTTTGCCTGGATAGCTCCAAAGGACCAACCCACTGCCTCAAAATCTTGCCAGCTGTCTGGGTGAAGGGATCACCCCTCTGCAAACAAAATTCTCCCAGCTCAGCCTCGCACATGGAAGGTAGACTAAGCAGGATGTAAATATTTCCTAAAGGTGATCATCAACTTCTCTCTGCTTCCTCTGGAAGATCACCCCTCTCACCTGCATCACAGCCAGTTCCTTTGCCAACACAACACTGTGGGCTGAATGCAAATCAATCTCATGCCACAAAAACCCATACAGCCTGACCAACCATACCCCTATGAAAAGGGAGGTTTAAGTTCCCACAAGAGCTGACAGCACTACACGTGCAGCAGAACAGCTGTGTGTTCCTACAAGCCATAAACACCACCTCAAAAAGGTACAGCTGAGCTATCTGCATTTCTGGGGCTACAGAACTTAGAAACCAAGTGCTAACATTCCAGAAGTCTTTCACTGGAAAGCTGGAGGTGTATCACCCACCAGGTCTGCAAACCTGTTCTGGAGAGACCCTATAGCAAAAAGGAAGGAAGTCATACATGGCAGGACTCCCCACAGCCTTCTGCTTCTTAACTCCTGCTTCAGATGCTCAAGCTGAGGCTTCCAGCACTGCCCTGCATAAAGACTTATGACAGTTACCACACAGAAGTGTGATGGGGAGATGTCCCATGGAAAGGGACATTAAGTGTCCTTTTCTGCTCCCACTCCTCTACGTCTACAGTAAACACATTCATTTCCTCCTGAATGTTTAATCTCTCTGCAAGGGAACACAATGGCAGTTCTTTCCATCACTTGAAATAAAAAGGTCACAGTTAGTGGATTGGAAAAAGCTAGAAATTAAATAAAGGTGACCAAAGGCTCCGAGACACTTTTTTGTTTCCAAAGGGAATGCTTTCCTCCCCTGCCCAACTGCAGAGAGAGCTGATAGCTCTGCGGAGGCATCTGTCCCTTGCTGGAAGAGGTTACATAAGAAGATCTATCAGCCTACTCCCGTCTGGCAGGTAGTGGTTTATGAGATCAGAAACCCTAGTTCTGGAATGGATGCCTCAAGGTTTGTTTTGCTCTAAGGTGTTAGATTGTGTGTTTTATAACTATAGATTCAATACTCGGTTTTCAGAAAACACTGCAGTGCCAAGGAAAAGCTCCTGTGTGCACGGACTGCCTAACAGGATCATCTCAGTGCTGCTCTGAGGAGCTGCAGAGCAAAGGTGGTCAGGCACCTAACAAGCATGGAGGTGCAGCAATGTGAACTGTGTGTTCCAGTGCATTGCTACCAACTGGCACATCTGAACAGACCCTGCTTCCCAAGCAGTCACTGGGTCAGGCACACCCCAGCTGTTAACAGCAGGGTGACCCCAAGAGGGGTCAGGCTAAAAGTCCCAAAGGCTTTACGCTTCTCCAGATCCCTTTCCCAAGTGCTGCTGTGATTTAATTAGCATGAAGCAAAGCCCAGGTGGCAGCTGCGGCTGACTGAATGCGATCCAGTGCTGTCACCTACTGGCTGCCTGCCGCCCCAGAGCCCGCAGTTCCTTGCAGAGTGCAGTAGCAGAGAAAAGCCCACAGGAGCAGCACTGCGGTCTGTGCTAAGCTCAAAGCACGAGGAGAACTGCATTTCCAGCTCCTCTGTATTAACAACATCAGCACCGCTGAAGTTGCCTGCAGAGAGGAACCAAGACATCAGTCAGGCTGGGTCTGCAGTGAAGGCTGCGTGTGGTTCTGAGCACTGCGTCAAAACAAGAAGTGAGGAAGATGGAAGGATGTACCACATAAACAACAACACAAGAGGCTGAGGAGGACAGGCCAACAAGAAAAGTGCCCACTGCAGAACTGCCACTTACAGATGGATGGCAAACTGGGACTCTGAAACACAGGCTTGGCATCCACAGCTGTCACGCTCCCTCCACTGACTACTTGCCTTCCTTCCCCACCCCAGGCCTGCATTCCCCTTTCTCAGCTCCCTTGCTTTTCTACCTGGCGGATGGGCTCTGGGATCCGGTATTTGCAGCAGGACTTGACAAGATGCACAGCTGTCTCCAGGCATATCCGGTGGCCCACTGAGACATACAGGGGTTTAGAGCTGTTGTTGCAGCCTCTCAGGGCCTGTGCATTAAGAAACAATGGAGATCAAATCCTTAAGTGGCTTATTTCAAACAAATATAAAGTGGCAGATGAATCATAGGCTAGCTAGTTGCCTTCAGAAATTAGGAGGTGGTCTGTCTTTGGTAACACCCAGCCTTCTGAACCTTCTGCTTTGCAGTATCTCTTTACAGAGACTGTTTGCCCTTTTACAGCTCTCTGAGACCCCCAAATGCCTCTTGCTGCTCTGGGAAGCAACAAGACTTGCTAATGCAGACTGTGTTGACATTAACACCAGACAAAGGGGGCTTCTTATACCCATCTGTTCCCTGTGCAACTCTCTTCTGAGTCCAGTGCTCCTAAGCTGCATCCTGGTAAGATGCTGCAGAGTTGGCACCTCTCCCTCAACGCTGTGGTTCATGGAAAGTGTGCTGGAAAACAGCACCTCAGGTGTCACAGCCCCGTATGTGAACAACACCCGAACCACCAACTCCTTCTATGGATGTCTGAGCTGCTGAAAAAGGGAAATCAGTGCTTCTGGTCACCTGCTCAGACAATATCCCCCAGTGCTCCCAGCTACATGGAGCTAGGAGATATGATGGCCGAGCAAACAGGAAGCTCCCTGTGGCTTACCATACCAAGGACAGCCCCCGAGGTGCCCATCAGAGGAAAAGTATCTCCTTTCTTCTGCAGGGAACGAATCTAGGGCATAAAAACACTCAAGGTCAGAAGTTACACAGTGAGGAAGTACATAACTGTGACTGTCCTGGTTCTCTAGGGCTACAAGAGAGCGGAAAAAATTCCCAACCTGGCTTCACCTGCTCTTTGTGCAGCTCATCCTTGACCAAGCCATCCACATGCAGGAGGTTCTTGGCCACTCCAACACACGGCAGATCTGTCAGGACTCCCAGGTGACAGGCCACGCCAAACCCTACCAAGATGACAGAGATGACAGCACTGTAACTTCTAGAAATCAGAAGATCAGAACCTCAAATGGATGCTGCTGGTGGAGCAGAGCTCCCTGCTGCAGTCCTACCTCTCTGATGGAGCAGACCATTCCCATCTACAAGGAGCACCTGAAAAAGCCAAAAAAACCACAAACACACAACCCACACAGAGTAGGACTCCCAAAGCCAAAGCAGACTTGGCTGACGTTGGCTCAGAGCATCCCTGGTCCCCAGGAAAACTGATTCCACCAGCTGCTTCAACGCAGCTTCAGTGCCGCGCTGCCTGCTGTACCAGCAGAACGCAGGCAGACCGTGCAGCCTCAGCAGGACTCTGAGCCTGCCTGGGGTAAGGGAACGTGCCACACCTGAGGTCTGAGCTCGGGCTGCTCCCGCTGAAGCCTCTCAACAGCTTCCACCATGAAAGGGACCTCTCGGAAGGCCAAGAATCCAGCCACGTACGGGGCGTTCACAGCCACCATCCTGCAATCCTCGTACAGCACCTACAGGGCACAGCGCGGCAGCACAGACAGCAACCCGCCGGGCTGCGGAATCTCCGCTCGGTTCACATCCTTCGCTCTCAGCACGACATCAGTCCTGGATCTCAGCACCTCAAAAAAAACCCCGCCTCGCTCCGGACCTCCCCCCCCCCCCAGATTTCAGGAGGAGGAGGAAGGCTGACAGCTTTTAACTCCTCCTCCCGACCCCGGCGGTACCTGCAGGCCGGGATAGCCGAGCACGACGAGCGACACGCAGGCGCTGCCGTCGTTCCCCCCGCCGTACGACAGATCCACGCCGCCCACCCGCTGCAGCCCGGCCCAGCCCGGCTCCCGCTGCCACCTCTCCGTGTCCTCCGGCACCACGGCGGCCCGCAGCCTGTCCTGCTCGCTGCGAGGGACCGCGCGGCTCAGCGCCTCGCTCCCTCGCGGCCCCGGCAGCCCCGCATCCCGCACCGTTACCATTCCCAGCTGCGGAGCGTGGCGAGCGGCAGCGCCTTCGGCTCCATCTCACACCCCCACACCCCCCCCCACAACCCCAGCGCCCCCAAAGCAGGCGGGCGGAAAGAGACGGCAGTACAGCGCGCTTCCGCGGTTTATTGAGAAACGAAGAGCGCCGCCTTGCGGCGGGGAGGAACCGGCCGGGCGCCGCCCGGGGCAGCGGGTGAGGGCGGTGATGGAACGGATGCGAAGGAAAGGCTCGACGGGAAGGAAAGGCTCGACGGGAAGGAAAGGCTCGACGGGAAGGAAAGGCTCGACGGGAAGGAAAGGCTCGACGGGAAGGAAAGGCTTGGTTGGTTTCTGTCTTGGTTCTGAGCCATCAGAGGTCGTCGCCCAACATCTACCACGTGTTAAGAGAAACCAAGAGTACAAAAACTCCCTATAACTGAGAGCTCGGAAAAGTTTTCCCCTCTTAAAGCATTGGTCCTTTTTTTTTTTCGCTTTTTTTTTTGCTTTTTTTTTTTAATCCACCTTCATCCTTCCTCCATTCTGAGGAGACCCCACTCTTCTATTGCACGTCTCACCCGCACACTGGTTGCACCCCTCCAAAAAAACCAAACAAACAACCACAAATACACCAAAAAAAAAAAAAGCACCAATCCCTGAATTTCCCAAACTTCACTGGCACCAATGGCAAATCAAGGCACTGCAGCCCCTGTGCACAGGGAGGGCGGCGTGGGAACCCTTAGCTTTCCCTACGCTCCCTCTTGAAGGCAGCAGCTGCTTTCCAAGTAGCAGCAACATGAGAGAGGTGAATCTCATCTGGGAACGTGTCCTGCAGCTCCTCAGCCAGCTCAGAGTCTTTTTCATCGAGGAGAGGAATGAGCGATTCCTTCACACTGGAAACCAAAGAGTAAAAGCAGTGTTAATAGATGGGGTACAGCATCGCGTGGGTTAATGAGCCCGAAGTGGGATGCTGCTGGTTGGCATCGTGTTGTTGTGGCTGCAGAAAGGTAAGCATGCTGAGCTGAGTGACGGCTGCTGCATTCCCCAAACAGCCCATGTAAGAGGCAGAAACACACAGGGCAGCTTACAACTGGCAGCTTACAACTGCCCTGCCTATTCTTAACAGCAATGCTCACACTATGTGGCCAGCAGAGCAGCCCTTTGCTAACAGCACTGTTTCCAAAGACATTTTCATAGTGGCAGAGAAGCTTAAGCTGTTACTAAGTGTGGGTTGTTTGGGGCTGCACAAATCTATTTACCCCCACGTAGGTCTGAATTCATCCGCAGATCTGACACGCTTCAGCTTCAGGATGATCATCTTATGGAGCTCCTGCAGGAAGGTTTCCAGCCTCGAGTGGACAAGGTAGGTATTGAGGAGCTTGGCCATCTTTGGGCTGAGATCAGCTTTGTATTCTATACTGATCTCTTCAAAAGGATCCTAAAAACGCAATGAGAACGAGTTAAAGAACCAAAACCCACGCACATCAAGCAACTTCACTCTAGAGGTGAGAGGACACGCGAGCAGTCTCTGAGGACACAGCCCATCTTACCCTTCTGAGGCGCAGAAGCTGCTCAGATTTGTGAGTAGAGAGAAGGTGCCACAGGGCTATGATGTGCTTTAGGTGGCATCGTCTGAGGGCCTGAAAGAAAGTGGATGTGAGGGACGTGTTTAGGAGCTTGTTCTTCCTCCACATTTCCCCATGCAGGGCAAAACTGCAGAGGATACAAGCACAAGGAAGATGCCCACTAGGAAAGAAACCACATGAGAAGGCAGAGTAACACTGAGCTGATCCAGGGAAGGTGTCCCTGCCCACAGCACAGAGGTTGGAACAGACCATCCTTCAGGTCCCTTCCAACACAAGCCATTCTGGGACTTAACTTTACAAAACCTCTGCTGCTTTCCCATTCCCTGTGTCACATAACTGTATTAACGTAGTGCCTTTGCCCACCATCAGTCAAAAGCACCTTTTTACACATCAATAGGAGGCAAAACCTTCCCCTTTCACCCCTTGAGGAGCAAAGGGCTATCTTCATCCCGCTCAGCACCAGGCAAACCAATGTTGCTAAAAGCTGACTAAATTTTTCCTTTTTCTCAGTTTTAGCACTGCAACTAATTATGCTGACATTCACCTAATTACTGCCCTTCCTGGTGGTGCTGGCAGCAAAGCATGGAGCTGCAGAGAGGAGTCTGACCTTCTACACATCCTGCACTTGCAGGGTTTTGCAAGAACCTGCTGAGTGTCATGAGCCATTGGATGCTCCCACCTGGCAAACCCCAGCTGCAGTGGAAGTGAAAATTGTTTTCTACCCTGCTGTCAAGTATGGTGGGGAGAGATTCCTAACACGTTCTAATTCAGCTTGAATTAGAAGTTTCAATGAGCTCAGAGGTCAGACTGCCTGGATTTAGTATCAATCAGTAGATATTTTTTCATCTAAGAACATGAACTGTGCTCTCAACACTCACCTGCAATACATGAGGGTTTGTCTGATCACCCATCTGCAGAACATTTTCAATGTAGTCGGTCAGAAGCATTTCAGTGTTCTCTCCAGCCATGGCCAGAAACTCCAAGGCAATTTCAGTGACAGACAGAGCATCACAGACATCACTGTAAGACTGTAATTCCCCACTGATTGCATTCATCACAGAACTGGGAAGCGCACACTGAAAACCATGAAGCCAAAGCACTGTTAGTTTAGAACCACTCCTTAGTGCAGCTCAAGTTGCTGAAGTCCCAGATAAGGGACAGAGCCCCAGATTTAGGAAACTGAAAATGCCTAACAACATCTTTGCTTTGTAAACCCTAACTGATGAAAGATGATTACAGGGTTCCAATAGATGAGCAGGCAAGCCTTCAAAGCAGATGGGCAAAGCAAGAAAGGCAGGCCTGACACTTTTTAGCATTTAAGGGGTCACACGTTTGCCCTGTTCCCTCCAGGGCAGAAACCCACCTGATGCAGACGCTGCTTATTCCTGATATCATTAAATAGCTCTTCATAATTCCGATCGTGCCTGTAAACGAGGGTGGGTATTCCCTGTCAACAGAGAAACCATTTGTTGGAGAGCTTTGTAACATCGCTAACCCAAGCTACAGCACATGCTTTGCTGCAGCAAACTCTGCAGGGCTTCCAGCAACAGCCAGCGCATCATCAGAGCCCTGCAGACAGCTGCAGGCCAGGCAGCAGCTCGTTGCCTACAGTTTTCTGGCTGCCTACAAACATAGCTAGCTGCCTGGTCCTACCGTCAGGGTGATGAGCGGCTTCCCCTGCAAGAACTTGCTGATGACTTGCTGCTGGATCCTCTCCAGATCAAAGTGCTGCAACGTCTCCCCTCCCTTCTCCATGCTGTACTGGCAGTTGGATAAGATCAGAGGAATCAAGTCTTTCTCAACCTCATAACTGATCAAGTGAAGGTCGGCAACTTCTGATGGACTGATCAAGTACCTGAAGAAGAGGGAGAAAAAAAAAAAAAAATTGTCTCCATTTACAACGACAAGCCTTTGTGAAGCAGGGAGAGCAGACCCTGTGGTGGCAGTTGATAAAACAGACTAAAAAGTGCTTAGCTGCACTTTGATGCATACCGCTCATCATCTTTGATGTGTTTGTTCACCGAATGGATGAAGTCATTCTGCAGGCTGATGAGGTAACTGACTAAGGCTGTGGAGCAGAGGCCCAGTCCCTGTCGACGTGGCAGAAGGACCTCAAGCTTGCTGTCCAGGGTCAGGTCAGCATCACAGTAGCCTTTAGGAAGTTTAAATTCCCCTGAAATAAAAAGCATTGAAAACTCCTTTGAGCATTGAAAGCTTTCCATTGAGCTCCTTGAGAGCCCACAGTAAGCAGCCTCTCCTGAGCTGACACGGGTCAGGAGAAAGTATGCAACATGAAAAGAAATCAGCACTCGTTCCATTCCCTCTAAGTGCTAAAGGAAGCAGGTTAGGGGAGAGTATTACAAGCAGGAAAAAGCCTTCCATTGCATATTTTTTAACCTTTAATGGCCAAGGTCAGTTCTGAGGATGCATTTCAGCAACTGATGGGAGAAATCCACCAATGGTATCGAAGGACCCCTGTCTGACAGCAGGCTCTCTCTCATTTCCACCCCTCAGAACAGTGCTGGGAAAGAAGAATACTCACCATTGGTATCCAGTGATGACCTCAGCTTGTTCCAAACTGACAGGAACACATCAACTCTCCTCTCCAACAGAACCCACATCACATCTGGGAACACCAGAAACAGGAAACACCTTTTACTGGCTACACCATGAAATCCAGTAACACAAGTGTTCTCAAAGCACCACTGTTCAAAACAGATCAGAAGTGCCTAAATGCACATTAAACAGCTTCCTAGTGTTATTAAATGGAGTCATTTGTTCTGTTTATGTTCTCCTACTATTGTGCTAAGTTGGCCCAGGCTACAAAACTCGGTCTGACTCTGCACGACCTTTAAGAACTGTTCTAAGTACTCAAGAACAAAGCAATTGCATATAAATGCAATTGAAGGATTTGTCATAAACTGTTTCTCCAGCATCAGAAAGGATGGACATCTCTGATACCTTTTAGGAAGGCCCTACTCCAGGGCACAGCTCAGAAATTCAGCATACCCACAGCTGCATTCACCTTGCCCATCTCTGAACAGAATCCCCACCCCTTGTAACCCTCCTTCCCGTGCTCATAATTCTCTTAAAACCACTTTATAGTCTTTAAAAGAGAAACCTTCAATATCAAGGCCTCCAGCTCATCCAGACAGGAGATGAAAGGAAGAAACTGTAAGTTCAACAGGAGTTTTCACCTCCATTATCAGCCGGATTCTCCAGGCAGTCGTTCTAAAGCACTTCTTGTTTTGCTAATTTACAGTTTGGGCAGCATCTTCTCACCTGAGAGGGGCTCACTGAGGAACTCTCTGATCGTGCAGCGTTTGGCATCAGAGGTGTTCTGAAACAGCCTCACCAGGTCTCTCTGAAGAGCCAGAATCTCCGGCAGATATTTCACCAGCCTCAGTTCTGTTTCCTGGAGGGGGAAAATGTGACCCGTGTGTAAAGCTGTTCTTGGACAGAACGTAGTTCTGAATACTTTTACTGAATTACTTTTTAGATGTTACAAGG